TAAACTCGAAGGTTTCCATTTTTAGCATACTGCATTACTATTGCATATTTCCGAGTTTCTGGATCCCTTGTAATTCCCGAGCATCGGATTAAATGAAAGGACAAACTTTCAGAGATCAAGGATTTAACTTTAAGAAACGGCATCATCTAAAAATATTTTATTGATGGTTATAGGCAAAAGTAATGATAATGTCAAATAAATAAATAAATAAATAAAAAGAAGCAATAAGCCAGCAAACACCTTCTTAAAGAAATCCACGTTTATATTTCGGGAATTATCCAATATCTTAACCACCACTCTTGTTCGACCATGCCTCTCCCATTGACTTCTGAGATAATTCCATCCAATAATCTGATCGATCTGCCCTTCTGTCCATGTTGCTTTTTGAACAATTCCAAAACCTCCTTTTCCTAGAATTTTGAATGACGTTAATTGGTTATATGGAATCCATTCTAATACGCGATCTCTCGATGTTGCATAAATTTGGATATTTCTTATAAATTCATCAATTTCCGAATTTCCGCTTGACCAATTCGCAAAGTCATGACGAAAATGTTCAGAGTTACAAGTTCGACACCAATTATAACCTGTGTTCTTCATTCCACAATCAAAACATTCACCGTAGTCACCGTATTGTCCAAATGGTATGGATCCATTGAAAGCAGATAAGAGCGAGCCTGTTTTTGCTCTCGTAGCCTTGCCTGTATTGCAATAAAGGGACATTTTTATATAAGTGGTTTGGGAAGAAAGTTGATCTCAATTTTATACAAAAATGCTAACACGTAAAAAGACGGTTGCGTTGATCTATACCATATGTTTATTATCCGTCCGATGCCGATAAATTTTCACACTATCTTCATAGAACACGAGGTTAACATGGATTTCAATAAATTATAAGTTCCGCTCCCTAGATAACTTCATATTTTCTAATTACTGTTACATACATGGAACATGAAACGATCCTGTGGGTTGCCCAATTGGATTAAAGTGTATGTGTTTATCTATCAATCTATTATTATTTTTATTTTTAAGAAAGGGATTTTTTTCGCGCAGGCATTCTTTAATGAGACGATCGAGTCATACTTGGTTAATGGTTGTTACACGGGAAATTAAAGTTCTTATGCGTTAATATTACCGTATATGGAATATTTTTTTATACGTAATAAAACAAAAGTAAATCTTTAATAACTGATAATATTATATTCCTTTGATAAACTACTATACAGTATATTAATATAATAAAATAGTATTGTTTATTGTTATTATTATTTCAATTACTGTAACTGTGCTAGCATCACATACTTGTTAAATATTGAAAAAATCAAATATCAAAAAGATATTAAAGTTATTGTACAAGTCTATCAAGCCTAATGTTTTCATTTATAATCACTTAAAATTTCTAGAGATTATTAAAGAAAAAAAAAAGTTTGCTTATTTAAAAAAAAGAAAAGAAAAAGAATAATTACTTTAAAAAAAGTTTATTATTAAAAAAAGTATATAAACTTATTATTAAAAAAATATAAAAAATTTTCAAAATATTTTTATTTTTTAAGTTAATAATAAAATTAATAAAAAAAGTTTTTAAAATAATATTAATTATTCATATTTTAAATAAATAAGCTTTTTAAAATATTATTAACAAATATTTAAAATTTTATTTAAAATTTTTAAAAAAATTATTTTATTATTTTTATTTATTAATAAAAATAATATATTCTATATTATTATATATTATAGATATTTATTTTTTAAAAAAATTATTTTACTATTTTTATTTTATTAACAAAAATTTATTAATTAATTAGTTATAAATTTTATTTATAAGAAACAATAAAACTTTCTATTAATTTTTTTAATATTACTTTAAATAATATATATATATATATTGTTATTTATTATTTCTATTTCAAAAGAAAAATAAAATAAAAAACTAAAAAAACTCTTTTTTACCTACCTCTATTTTATCTAAAGATTTTTTTTTTAGGAAATTTTTTTCTTTTCTCCTTTTATTTTTCTTCTTCTATTAAAGATAAAACTCTGCAACAGGTAAAATCTGAGATGTACTAATACTATATAAGATTTTTTCAACTGTCAAATATTATTCTTTAAGAAATATATATATATGTAATACTGACTAATATATCTGAAAAAGCACTCTTGTTTAAAAAAGCATGAGCTAATCAAAATTCTATGTATAACAGAAGTCTGAAACAAAAAAAAAGAAAAGTTTTGGGTTGGATTGATCTTTTCTATAGCAAGGCTTTATATAAATCTGATAATTATAAGTAAGAAACAAATTTCTTTTTTTTCCTTTTTTCCTTTTCTCCTTTCTTCAACTTTCTTTCCTATTAACAAACTGTTTTCTTTTCTCTTTGAAGATTTTTTTTCTAGATTTTTTTTTCTTATTTTGTAACTATCTTATTAATTTTTTGAAATATCCAACATTTTTATCTTGATTAAGCATATATCTTACTTAAACTAAAGCTACTTTTGTCAAGAGATATAGATCTCTTAACAAAAACTTCTTTCTTTGTTTAAAAGAGCTTAACTTGAAAAAGGTCATAATAGAATCATTTTGATTAAAAGTTATGATTATCTTATATAAAATCCATCAAAAGTACTTTCAATAGTTACTAATCTTTATATTGAAGTCTAAAAATACATAAAGAGATATAATAAGTTATTAAAAGTAAAAATTCTCTAATATAACAGGCTATATACTATATATAAAATCTTGCATGACTAATTCCTAATCATATCTAAAATATTTGATCAAAAATATATATTAGACAAATACTTCTATTCTAATACTTAATATTATTATTATTTATATATATTCAAGAAGAATTTTTATGAAATTAATTTTTTTATTTACTCTTTCAACTTCTATCTATATTAAAAACCATGATCAACTTACCTTCTTCAAAAGATTGATATAAGATGATTATGCCATATTAGGAATAAAACCTCTAATATAGAAAAGATCCACAGGTTATATTATAATACAAACTGATTCCTAGGACCAGTATATCCAAAACCTGATTCTTTTAATTATACTAAATTATTTATATCTTATTCTCTAATGAACACATATACTGGTTTATAATATAACTAGTAGCTAGTTATTATTTATCTCTTCTTTTTTTCAATGTGATTTTTCAAAGTCTATATATATCATTTTACATTATTGCACTAGATTATAATCAATTTACTTATATAAAGATTATTAATATAATAATAGTAAACAAAAGTTTAATAAAGTTCTATATTTAATATCTATTAGTAATTAAAAAAATAAAATAAAATAAAATAAAAAATAAAAATAAAATAAAAAATTCCTAATTCTCTATTTTCCAATAATTGCCCCGGATCATTCTCAGATTCTTCATAGGCCTTCGGAGATTCTTCGAGATTAACAACAACTTGACCTTCCATTATTTCATCTTCGCCACTTGAATATTCTTCTTCAAATCCAAGTCCTAATTTAATCCTCTCCTAAAAATATTAT